TCAACTATTCAGTAGTTTGGAAAAGTGCTCAGCCCAGTAGTTCTCAGTTCTTCCTGATCCTTGATCTGGTTCAACTCCAGGAGATGACAGCAAGGGGGAACATCCTGATTTAGAAGCATCATAAACTGCTTTTATGGTGCTGAAGAACTCTCTGGTGGCATGCATGTCTGCACAGCATTCCATCTGCTCAGCAGGCTTTCTCTGCTACCACTCATCCTGCATTTCTTGCAGTTTCTCCTGTACTTTGGACTGCAGATATTCAAAGCTTTTTCTCTCTGAGACAGAGGATAAATGCCAGTTTGCATAGGTTTTGTTTCGGCCTGGACGGCTGCTGAAATAGCCTCATGGTTTTCATCAAAACCAATCTTGGTGCACCCAGGTTTTCAGTACCACTACTACCATTGTTGCAGTCTGAGTGATGACATTTTTAAACTGCGTCCACTTTTCAGAACAGGTTCCTACAAGTGATAAATTGTTGGAGAGTTGTTGCTTTTTTATTAAATACATCTTGAAAGCATTGGACTTGACCTGGGTCCTGCAGTCTGATGGTGTTGAATGACGTGCTGACAGTCCTTTGGTGGCATACAGTGTAATGGGCTACATGCAGGTTGAGGATTGACCAGCCCAGCCTGTAATCTATCAAATACTTGGCTATGTCATAGTTCGTCAGCACGACCTTAAAGACGTCTCCTTCACCTGGAAAATATAATATAGCAGCTTTATGTTATGGTGTCACCCTACAATCAACACACTAAGGCAGCGGGTCTCCACCTATGGGTCGCGACCCCATTTGGGGTCGATCGACCATTTCACGGGGGTCGCCAAGCAAGGCTGTCCGCCATTTTTTTCCCCTTTTCCGGCGGGTGCCTTACCTCCCTTGGGCTGGGCCAGCTGGTGGTCGGCCTGCTCCATCTCTGCTGCTTGCCAGCTATGCCTTGGCCGGCGCAGGGGGCGGAACCACGCATGCATGGCGCTCCCGGGCAGGGAAAGTCCTCAACTTACGACCGGTTGGGTAGTCCTCGACTTACAACCGGTTTAGTCCTCGACTTACGACCGGTTGGGGTTCGCGGCATTAAAAAGGTTGAAAACCACTGCACTAAGGGATACATCCTTTCACAAGGATTGTTTCAACACCATTCTTCTTGGTAAGACACTTTGAAAACTGCTCACCACAAAGGTCAATGTTATCACAAATAGACAAAATTATCTTTAAAATCGTCTCTATGTAGACTCCACAGTAAACAGCGCATATCACAGCCAGCTTTGCCACTTCCCATCTAGCCCCATGCAGCTCTATATCTCAGTATAAGAAGATCAGCAGGTGATCAGGCATTTGATTGCTGCGGCCTTCCATCAGGAAGAAAAATCTAAATTGCTTCTTCTTGATTTCTAGTAAGAGAGAAGCTTAGCAGCATGGGGCTAGTTGGAAATGGCCATCCTGATTCACTGGACAGCTGCTGGCTGGTGGCAAAAAAAGGGGGAAGGGAATAGATGCAAATTTACACCCTTTCCAAATGTATCATTACATGATTAAAATAATAAAAACAAACACATGATGGATTATTAAAGATAAACACATAAAACAGGTCCAAAGACTTATAAATATACGGTAACTCTCCAGAATATATTTATGAAATAAGTTAGTACTAAGCAGCCTTTAAAAGAAATATTGCTATGACTCAGGGATTTCAAATTATTCAGGACTGCTATGTCAGAAACCAATTTGCATCATTAAGTCTAATTTCAGGAACTCGATATCAGTCACTCATCAATTTTCCTCTTCACCAAAATCTGTATTCTTTTTTTAATTGTCTTTGATCCCCTCAGTGATCTAGAGTTTCCAGAAAAACCAAGTTAGGTAGCACATCTATAATTGCACAGAACATAAACCATTAAAGTATAAGTCAACAAAGAAGAAAAGTTATCAGCATCATTTTTCTGATAAGGGTACTGGAGGAAAAAAAATAGTGTAAGAGACAGAAAGAGCAGGAGCAGAACAAGAATAGAAGGAAACAGAAAAGTGGGTGACATGTCCAAGAATATTATGAAGGATCCAGATGGACCCTTCAACCTGGCAGTCTCTTAGTTGATAATGGACAATGGAAACCATAGGCACTTGGTAACAAAGAATGAGATCTTCACCTCCAGTATTTGATTTGATTGAGGCTTTCTCCTTTGATTGCTCTATAACACAGGTGTTAAACTCGCTGTGTCATGTGACGTGTCATGATGTATCGCAACTTTTTTTTTCATTGCCAGAGCTAGGGTGGGCATGGCCTCCACATGATGCAACCGACCCACAGGCAAGCAGTTTGACTCCCCTGTTCTATCAGGACCAGGACCAAAGAAGAAGAACAAAGCAGAGAATAATGAATAAGGAAAAGCCAGCAACACTTTTGCAATAGTTCAAGTGTTTCTGTAACCTGTGACCACTTAAAATTTGGTTTAGGAGAATCAGTGGTAATGAATGATGACTAATAGTGAAAAGATGAACTATCGTTTTTTAATCAGAATAAAGAGATTTATTGTTACAAGTTCAAAAGATCTTTATCAGTGATGGGGAGAACTCTGGATTTAATATGAAGAAATCCTGGGAGGTAGGAAAACAAAGAATTCAGAGGCCAAATTGGGCTGAATAAAAGCAGCATAGAAAAATACAGAGAGAAGTGTAACTGGGGGGAAAAAGCTCTGGGAAGAAAGTGAACATGTTACAGGTGCATGGCAGAAAAAAACACCAGCTTGCAAAATTTCAGAAGCAGGAAAAACTAGGGAGGGAGGGGCTAGCTGAGAATGAAAAAGACAAAGTTGGGGTGAGGGGGAGGAAGATGCAAAGGGCAAAACAGTCATAGGCAAGGCTTGGACTCCTTAGACAGGCAGCAAATGAGTGAAAGGATTGTTAGCTTTCTGTTCCTTTAAGGTGGGGATGGACAAGCTTAGAATCTGCAGGGCCAGACACAGCCTAGAAGCCTTGGACACAGCTGCAAACAATCTTTTAAAAGCTGCCACCAGGTTGTAATTATTAATGCAACAGAAAATAAGTGTGAGAAGAATGATAGTCTCAGCACATGGCAGCACTTGTTTAATCTCGTCTAGGTTGGGGAGCTGAGTAGGTTGGTCCTGGTGAAGATATGGATGGAAGGGATTAAAAAAGACCAAGTCTATGAGTTAAAAGCGGGGAGAGGGAAAAATCCTATGAGGAGACAGGAGGCAAGTCAGTTCTATACTGTTGCCAAGGAACTATATGGATGTATCCATGGAATCACCAAGGAAGAGAGCTCAGCTTGAAGGATACCTTACCTTTTAATTATATGGGTTCCACCATTTGTTCTAGATGTTAATTAAAAATCAAATTTAGCCCTGCAGGCTACTTAAAGAAGAAAGATGGACCTTAACTTTTAAAAAAGTTGAACACTTGTTTTCAGATAAGCTCAAGGAATGCTATGTCAGCCTGTATAATAAAACCTATCTCATTCATGGCTTGATTGTGAATGAAAGGGTCAGCCTGACATGCTTTACTGAAACCTGGGTGGATGGGACCCCCTCTTGAAGATGTGCCTTTCCAAATTTCAGGTGTGGCACCAGTAGTGATTTCAGGGCAGGGTTCGGTATGCGACTGTGGTTATCTGGTAGTCTTCTGTGACTCTTAGAGATGCTGTCACATAAAGCCAGATGAGAGATCCTGTTCATGAAACTGGGCCATAAGGATCAGTTGGAGCTGCAGCAGAAGGGTATCCATGCCTCTTAAACCATTAAACTATGTGATTTATGCTAGCAAAGTCAATTGAGAAGGGATTCATCTTGCATTGAACTGATTTAGGACAGTACTATTAATATTGCCTGCAATGACACTCTAATGTCATTTTTTGTTGTTTGGGGACATGAATATGCATATACTTTCATATTCAGCTGATGCTACATTGCTGGCTGAGAATCAAAATGATTCCAATAAATGTTAGCTAAACTGTATGAAACAAGGGGTATGGATCTGAAAATTAATGTATCGAAGGCCAAAGAATTTGTGTTTGACAAGGAGAATCGAACTGTTGCAAGATATATAAATGGTGAAAAATCAGAACAAAGTGATACATATGTGTATCTTGGTAGAATGTTTACTAAAGATATTGAGTTCTTGAAAGATTACTCTTTTAAAAGATTAGCAAAATAATTTACCCTGCAATAACCTTTAGCCCATTATCACTGCATCATTAAAGTTAATATAGCTGTTGGTTTCAATATATTGACTATAAAGTAAAAAAAAAACTATGATTCACCACTCTTCAGAAAGATTATAGAACAAATCAACAAACATGTAAAATATTAAGCCGTGTCATAAAAAACTGAATGATACACACTTAGGAGTATATATGCACTCAGTTCAAAAGTACTTAATCCCAAGTAACTGTAACACTGCAATTTAAAGTGTGGATCTTTATTATTACCTTATGATCCTTAAAATCAACTACTATATTAAAACATTCATGTATAAGAAATCAACAAAACTGAGACATATGGGATATAGTCTTAGTAATCTCTATGTATGGATAAGAATGATATTTATTTATCTACTTATTTGCAAAGATTTCTGCCTATTCATATAACTCCAAAGGTTTTTTTAAAAAAATTAAGGTATTATAATAGCTGTTCTCTCCAATTTTCTACCATCCCATAGCTTACTACATAGGGTAAGACTTACTAAGAATTATCTTAATGAATAAAATAATTTATATGCTTAAATTTATTCCAAAGACTTGGAGTAAATTTGTGTCACTTTTAAGTTTAAAATATACTTCTGATTTTGAAAAGAACACAATTCTGTGTATACTTAAGACGGAAGTAAGTTTCACTTCACAGAAGTTTGCTATGGAGGAAATAAAATTGTTCTCTTAGTTCATCCTGGGAAAATTTCCAAACAGGCCACCCACCTGGCAAACCTTACCTTGCTCAGGCCCACCTGGATGGTCTTTAGAAACTGTTCCCAACAGGCAAGAGGGAGAGGAAGTTCATTTGCAGTCCTTCAGTACAGCCATCCCCAGGCCCTCTGTCCCAGACTCATACTGGGTGCCCGAAGAGGACGACCGTCTCCAAGAACAGTGCAAGTTGGAGCCCTTTTTGCGAAAGGAAGAGGTGAAGCGGTAGAACTTCCTGTGCTGGTTCCGAAGATGCTCGCGATAGTTCCTGGTCAGCAAGATATAAAGGAAGGGGTTGATGCAACTATTGCTGTAGGTCAGGCAGGTGACCAGGTAGTTGATATACTTCTGGATGTGGAGCGGCAGGCCCAGGGGACCGTGGTAGAGGGACACCAGCTGCCAGATCCAGAAGGGCAAGAAGCAGGCCCAGAAGACCAGCACGATGGTGAAGACCAGGATGAGGACTTTCTGGCGGGGGGAGCGCTTGGGCCCCGTCTTGCGCGGCGGGTTCTTCTGCGACTCCAAGTAAGTGGCGGCCAGGCGGGCGTAGAGGCAGCCAATGAGTAGCCCGGGGGCCAGGATGCTGGTGCTGAAAAGAACCGTCAGGTAGAGGCGAAAGGCGTCGGGGCTCCAGGTCGGGGCGCAGATATGCTTGCCGTCGCCGCTCTGGCTCAGGGTGACCATCAGCATCATGGGCAGGGTCAGCAGGAGCGAGATCCCCCAGACGGCGCCGGCGGTGAGCCTGCGGAAGCGCGGCGCCCGGTAGCGCACGGCCAAGGGCCGGGTGACGGCCAAGTAGCGCTCGGTGCACATGACGGTCAGGGTGAAGATGCTGGCGTGCATGGTGAGCAGGTCCAGGCTGAGCAGGAAGCGGCAGCCCAGCTCGCCGAAGTACCAGTCCTGCGCCACCGACGTGCCCACGATGAAGGGGATGGAGCAGAGGTAGAGCAGGTCGGCCAGCGCCAGGCTGGCAATGGAGCCGGACAAGGGCGCGCCGCGGGCGCCCCGGCCCGAGCGCCACAGCAGCGCCAAAGTGTACACGTTGCCCGTCACGCCGGCCACACACATGACGGAGAGGACCGCGCCGAAAACCCAAGTCGCCGCCGCCGCTTCCCCGCCGTTGCCAGACGCTGCCCGGGAAGACTCGTTGCCAAGCCCGCCGCTTAAGTTACGCTCCATTGCGCGCGCGGAGCAAGTGGGACCAGTCGCCTCTCCCCCCCCTCCCCGCGCCCCTTCTAACTTGCCGCGCGGTGGCCACCGCCTCCCGCTCCCCTGGCGGCGTTCCAGGCGGCCAATCGCTGGCTCCGCTCCCGAGCCTTGCCTGCCCCACCGCGTTCCGCGGCTGCTGCTGCTGCTGCTGCTGCTCCAGCGGCCGCCTGGGACGAGCCGCCGCCTCCTTCTCCTTCTTCTTCAGCGGGTTGAAGGTCGGAGTTGAGCAAAAGCTTGAGCAGTCGAGGCTTATCGGGAAGGGCAGTTGCGCTCCTGGAAAGTTTGGATTCGTGGGATTGTCTTGTGGGTGTTTTATGGAGCCGACTCGTTTCTTCTTCCTCTGTTTGAAAGCAAAGGGCCTCGAAGGGAAGGCAGTAGGTCTACTTAGGAGACTTTAGGAATGTACCCCCCAGTTTATCAAGTACTTGGGAGGCTAGAGCTTGGCAGCACAAGGAAACAACTGCCGACGACTAAATAACCAGCCCTCAACTCCCTAATCTGCGTCTAAAAAGCTACACACAACAGGCACAGTATAAATCCCACACACTCTGCTAGTAGGGTTGCCAGGTGTCCACTATTTGAGTGGACAGTCCACTTTTTTCACATTATGTTCACATTATGTCACAAAATAGTGGACATTTTTTTTAATTCAAAAGCTTTATGATGAAATGGTACGTAATCTAAAGCTGTACAGTCTACTTTTTTTACTACTTAACCCCCCCCACCCCGCTTGTCCGCTATTTTTGGGAAGCAGACCTGGCAACCCTAGAGAGAAGTTTCCTGAAGATGGGCTCCAGCACAAGTTCAAGTCCCGAAGGTTCAGAAGAGAAAACCTCTTGTCCTGGTGACTAACTCAGATTGGATCCCGCAACTTTAGAAATAGCCCTTCTTCAATTTCATTAACGCTATTTGCCATTCACCTTTCCCTTGGGAGCTGCATAGGAGGATCTCTGCCTCACTGTCATAAAAAGCTTGCTTTGAGGTTTGCAATTTGGCTGACAGGGAGTGGATGGCCCAAATCACATATTGTAGGAGGAGAGGCTATGGTAGCCCAAAATTAGAGTGAGTCTGTCAGTAGCACCCTTTTAAACTAAGTTTGGCTTATGACTTATAAGCTTATAATTTGATTTTTGAAAGGCTCTAAGTCACCAATCAGCATGTGAAAACAACTCTTTTGGATTAGGCCAAGGGTCGTCTTACTCCAAGGTTTGGTTTCTCACAGTGGCCAACCAGAAACAAGCAGGAGACATTGACATACAGTACACTTCCCTTACTGTTACTCCCTTTCTCTTGTTATTTCCAAAAGTGCTATCTGGCCCCATCTCAGAAGTATTCTTAAAATAAATAGCCCTTAACACACCAGTTCAAGAATCTATCCAACCCTCTTTTAAAGCCATTCAAGTTTTGTTCCTTTGTTTTTGCACTTACAAGTCAATCAGTACTGATGTCTGGTGGCCACCTGGAAAAGTCCCTGCAAGTTTTTGTTTTCAGATCTCAGAAGTGGTTTGCCATTGCCTTCTTCGTAGGGGTGAGAAAGTGAGTTACTGGCCCAAAATCACCCAGTTTAGGCTTCATACAGGACTAGAACTCACAGTCTCCCAGTTTCTAGCCTGATGCCTTAACCATTATCACCAAACTCACTGGTGATAGTGAATTTCTTTCTGCATGCCTATCTCCTTCCAAACAGCTTCCATGGATGATCCTGGCCCTTAGCATTTTAAGAAAGGAGAAAAGCTTCTCTCTGCCCACTTCCTCCATGCCGAGAATGATTTTATACATTACAATTGTGGTCTTGATCAATCATGTGATTTTTATACACTGCAATCATGTCCTCATTCAGTCATTCTTTTTTCCAGGCTAAAGAGTCCCAAATGTTTTAGCCTTTTTTTTTTTGTAAGAAAGGTATTAGGTTTCCTGCTCCTGGGTGTTTTTCCACTCTATAATATCCTTTTTTCCCCAAATTTGGTGACGAACTATACAGAGTTTTCCAGATGTGGATGTACATCTGAATAAGGGCTTTACAACATCAGTTTTACTTTTACTTTACAGCAGTTTTACTTTCCATCTCTTTTCCTAATGGTTCCTAGAATGAAATTTGCCTTTTTTAATTCTTCCAACAAGTATGTCAGTATCTTCACTGAACTATTCACTGTAGTCCTGAAATCTTTTCCCAGGTTATTTACAGATAACTCAACCCCTAAAGCTGCATGCAGACATACCTTTAGCTTTATATGTCAGTGGTGTACTTCATCTAGTCTGTCTTCTGAATTCTGAAAGAATCTGAGGCAGAATTACACTAAACCATGACTAAATTGTTATGCCTATTCCAGCCTGCAGCCTTAGGAAATAAATGTAACCCTTTTAGAGCAGACTATATGAGAAAAGATAGAGAGACCAGTGAGGATTTGAAAACATCAACAAAGTTCAGGACTCACTTTTCATAACTATATACACATTACTCCCTTAGATCCATAGCTTTCAGAAATCTGAAGTGCAAATTAAACACTTGGTACAAATGCATTAAAAAGCTCCATCAGAAAGAGGCATCCTGACATTTTCCTATTATTTTAGACTGCCTCTTCCCACAGCTCCTTAATATTAACCAGGCTGATTGGGTCCCCTGAGACTTTAAGTCCAAAACATTTTTTTTCTTATTTCTTCAAGTCACTCTTGGCTCCTGGGAGCTGCTTGGACAAATCCCTGCAGTATTCTTGGATATGGTTTCTTCTTACCTTTTTCCCAGGGCTGAAAGAGAGTGAATAGCCCAGAGTCACTCAGCTGGTTTCATTCCTAAGGTGGAACTAGAACTCACAATCTCTCGGTTTCTAGCCTGGTACCTTGATCATTAGACCAAACTGGCTTTCCCAAAACGTCTAGCCCGCTCCAAAGTACCTAAACCTAACTTACTACTTTGTCAGTGAAAATATCAGGAGATAATAATAAAAAATACATAGAAGAGTATTAACTATTTTGGCATGGGTGCTGTTCTCTTGCTTTCTGTTGTGAAAAATTTAGGGTATACAAACATTTATTCAAAGATAAAACATCTGCCCTTTGGTGTTCAATAAAGCAGTCTCTTCGGGCTGTTTTTCATAAAACAAAATATCCTGGATTTCCTACACAGTCCAATATGTCACTGAAATAACTCTACAACAATATTTCCCCCCTGAAAGTGGTTCTTTCAGTATTTTAGAGAAAGATGCTCCCTCTCTATGTTTTAAGGCATGCAACATTTTATTTCTTTATTCGTCCTTAGTATTTTAAAATGTTAGCTTAAAGATATTATATCTCCTTGAAGATTTTTTTTACACAGTTTTAAATTCAAAATTTGAATTCATGGCGATACCCAAGTGTTTTAATGACTTTTCTTTATGGCTTTTAAGCTTTTGACCTAAACTAGTAGTGCATCCACATAAAGAAGTTAATTGGAACAAAATGCATATATTCACAGCCCTTAGGAGTGTGTGTGTGTGTGGGGGGGGAGAGTGCAGGAGAATAGAAATTTATTTTATAATTATTCTTAATTATTAGCTCCTGGGGATATTCTGATTGTGGTATATAATTGATAATTGACCAGCAACAATCAATTGATGCAGGTTTCATCATGGTATCTGTTGTAAGATGTTTGTCTCTATTTTCCTTTTTCAGTTATGTAACATTGGTTTTAGATAAAAATAATCAACAGGGAGATAAGAGCCTGTTATTCGGTTGTATCTCTAGAATATATTATAAAATAACTCAGAAACAATACCCAGTATTTACTCTTGATCCAATTTTATTTACCTTCATTCCTAATATCAAAACTTATCAAATTCATTACATGAGACTTACTAATAATACCAACAATTTTTGGCTCCAATTATTGGAGTTCTATTAGATTATAAATGCCATCAAAATATGGCAGTGTCTGTACATTGTCTTTATAGCCATACATCACTTCCTCAGCTCCTGCTTTTTCTTCAAACTGGTATATACAGGTGACATCTTTACTATATTGGCTTAAAGATAAGAGGTCTTGAGCAAAGATTTGTCAAAACTGCTCAGGATATTCTGCCACTAATGTCATCCCTGAGCAAAGGAATTGCAAAGACCATTTTCATTGTGAAGTAGCTATACTATAATGTATTAGAGGTTTGAACAGCTTTTATTATGGGTTAAACAAAGCCCTGGGACTTTTTTACTCTGTGCATTAAATAGCTCATCAATGCATGCATGTCTATCACATCCAACATTTTTTTATTAATAACCATTATGTATAGTTTATTTGTACTGATTGTGCTTTCTACATTTTATTACTGTCTGACATTCTTTTATTATTTCTCCCTCCTCCACAGCAATGTGTACACTACAGTATTATATACTCCATGTATTTTATGAAGCAGATAATGATCCATGAAAGTTTATGTTGTGATCAAGCAGTTAGCTCTTAAATGTTACAAGAATGTTCTTTGTCCCTTTTGTAAAAAAAAAAAAACCTAGCAGAGTTCAGATATCAAAAGTTTAGGTTCTCCCAGCCACAAAATACACTTTTTCTTAACCATTTCCTTTCAGTAAATTCATTGATCATCTGGTAATAAAATGATTCATTTCAGATTTGAGAGCAAAAGGGTGCTTCTGAACAGGAAGGTCAGAGACATGGCACCTATTTGTAGCTCCTTGGGGGGAAAAGCTGGCTGCTTTAAAAAGTTAAGGTAAAGAAGAAAATGTTTTTAGTTTGTAAGAGGCAGACCCTTAACATTGTAGTGTGTTATATTAAAATGCTCTTATGCATTGTTCTATTGTCCTTATTCAATTTTATCAAAAAGAAATAGTTACTCTGGAAGAATGTTTCAAGAAAATGTTTATGAGTGGTTTGTGTAATTTTTAACTACCAGATTACCAATGGGCATGTCTCTGTGTCCTAAATCATTCCTATTTCCTTGGCTTCTAACACCTATATTTAGTTCCTAGGGAAGATATCACTAAGAGGA